GGGTGGGTGGGTGGGTGGGGGGCTTCATTCTCGAGTCTCAGGCCCTCCCACTTGTGGGAACCTGGACACCCGGCCCTCCCACTCTGGACTGGCAGAGTGCAAATTCAGAATTGCACTTCCCTGCCCAGCCAGAATTGGGCCACCCTTTGGCTGGGTGTGGGGAGGTCTCTGTGCTCCAAAGGAGAAAAGCAGTAGCCCTCCTTTGCAAGGCAAGCTGGGGGATAAAGAGCTGGGCAAAGGCAGCCATGGTGGGGAAGACCTTGCGCCAATGAAATTGCACCCAGGGTCATTTCTGCCTCCACCTGGAACTGACTTGGAAGCTGAAGCTAGTCCAGAACAGAGCTGAGCTGGTATTTACAGACATGCAAAAGTGCCCACGTAGGGCAGGGCTGGTATTGACTTCCCTTCCCTACCAGTTTGCATATGTGAGCGCACGTGTGCACTCCCTTTGCTCGCACATGCCACCTCCACACATGCGCTAAGCCTTCCGCATATGTGCTTTTCACTAAAAAGGACCCTAAATGGGATGCCATAGAACCGGGGCAGGGGGATGGGCTACCCATGATTTCCACTACTGGTTCAGGCAAACCGGTCCGAAGTGGTAGAATCCCACCTCTGATGCTGGGCCTGGCTTTAGCCTAAGGTTAAGTGGGCACTGGGCTAGGGAGCCAAAGCATAGGTGGTGCCCATTTGGCCCCTCCTTCCCCAAAACAAAGGCCACAAGAAAAATGCTTAAAGCGGGTCAAATCTACGAACTGGTTAGAAGAGGTTCCAGCAGTGGAGCCGGAAAGCAGGCCACACCTACAGAAGAGGTTCCGAAAATTTTTGAAATTGCTCCCCACTCTCAAACTCTCTGCTACCAGTTCTCCAGAACCTGTCAGAATTGCCTGACTGCCCCCTCTGGGCAGCATGTTTGGGGGGATTCACACCATGCCCACTCAGGGTGTGGCTTGCTTCTCCTAGCCTTGGGTATTCTATGCCCCCAGTTGCTGGCTGTAAACCAGGATGGAGGGTCCCTGGGAGGGAGAAAGTCCGCTCTGGACCTACCGTCTGAGCCCAGCTGGTCCAGAGGAACTTCCTTCTTGGCAATGACATTAACCACCAAGGTAAAGGCCGAATGCACGTAGTAGCGCCCCAGCTCAGCAAGGATCTCAACCCCACAGCCTTCAGGGAAGTAGAGGTCCAAGGCAGAGTTGATCACAGCTGCTGTCTGAAAGAGTCCGGTGGGTGGGAGGGAGAAGAGAGGAAACCACGCCATTATACGCACAGGCACCCAAAGGCCTGCCTGGACTTTGCAGCGGTTGGGAAAAGAGGCAGCTTGGGCTGCAGTCAGACACCTTTTGGTTGCTTTGTTTTCATAGCAGCTTTTGGCAAGTAAGCTGGGAGAAGCTCCTAAGCAGGATGTCATCTGGCACAAAGCATGGAAGCCCTTCCACGCACTGCAAGGACCTAGTGACGGCTCCTTCTTTCCTTCTTCTACCCACCCACCCACTCTATCATCCATCCATCCATCCATCTCTGATGTAATCTTGCCCTCTCCCAGCCACCGTTGATTCTTAAAGAGAAACATTCACCCAGTAACTGCAAAGGGTCTCATCCCATTTCGAAAGGTCCTGGTCATGGCTGAGAGTCTTAGCATGGCAGGAAGTAGCATGGCTAGTCTAGGGAAGAGAAGGACCAGGGGAGACAGGATAGCCATCTTCCAATATTTGAGGGGCCGCCACAGAGAGGAGGGGGTCAAGCTATTCTCCAAGGCACCTGAAGGCCAGAGAAGGAATAATGGATGGAAACCGACCAAGGAGAGATTCAACCTGGAATTAAGGAGGAAATTTCTGACAGTGAGAACCATCAACCCATGGAACAGAAGTTGCCTTTGGAAGTTGTAGGAGCTTCATCACTGGAGGCTTTCAAGAAAAGACTGCACTGCGATCTGTCAGAAATGGTGTAGGGTCTCCTGCTTGGTCAGGGGGTTGGACTAGATGACCTACAAGGTCCCTTCCAACTGTTAATCTGTATTTAT